ATTGTTGCTGCAGTTTAGTGTTCTCAAATTTGGATTTAAATTTAATTCTTTTAGTTCATTGTTGTTACAATGTACTTCTATCAGGCTGTATCCTAATATTAGGTTTTTTAATTTGTTATTTGAACATGTTAATTGGATTAGTGTGTTTGATAGATTTAAATCAATGATCTTATTGTTTGCACAATCTAATGCTCTTAATTCATTATTAGTGATTAGTTGATTCATGTTATTGTCTGTACATATAAGGGTTTGTAATTTAGTGCATTGTGACACATCTAGTTTATTGATGTCCATGTTAATTATTGTTAATTTCCTTAATGTATTTGATTTTATTATAAGGTTTGTATATATTTTTTTAGGGCATTCAGTGCTTAGGTTGAGTTCTGTGCAGTATGTGACATATTTTTGTGCTGAAGAGTCTGATTTTTGTTTGAACAACATTTTATTGGTGTTAGCTAAAAATAAGAAGAATTTTTATTTATTATTATGCAACTGGTTATTTGCTGTTATTATTGGTGTGAAATTGTTTTTTTTTTGTGAGTGAGCTACTGATTTTGATTATTTATTAGAGATTCTAAGGATGTATTTGTGTTGGTCATTAGGTGATTAAATATGCATTTGGTCAGATTTACATCTGTTACCGGGTCATGTATGTATGTGTCATTATGCGATAATTTACATATTATTTTGTGCGTTTCCTCTAGGTTTGTGAGCCTACCTTTTTTGTTTATGTATCCTAACTTTGATTTAATGACTATTTTATTGTTTGTAGTGTTTATTAGTTGTAAAAAGAATTCCCCATTATTGTGAGTGTCGTAACATGTCATGTTGAATACTGGCATGTCTATACCCATCCTTTTTAGTATTTCCATGTCAGTATCCCCATTCCACGTTACGATAATTGGTTTCTTGTTATTGTAGTTAGCATATTTAATTATGTATTGTGGATTGAGGTTGCCATTCTTTTTTAGGAAGCTCTCATTTAATTCATTCAATATTGGTTCTTGTTTTTTCCGGTTATTTTTGAAGATTTTTATTATTGTTTTTATTATTATATTTATTTGGTCTCTGGGTAATTTAGTTATTTCTGTAGATTTTTGATGTTTTCTTAGTAGTAGTGGTTGCCCTTTTAATTTAATAGTTTTTGACTCGGTGTGGCTGTTAGCTATTGCCCCGGATATTAGTACTAGTGTTGTTCTTTCGATTAAAGTAAATTAATGATAACGCAATTCATTTTGTATTGTTTTTATCTTGTCAGTCCTGTAATTTTAAAATATAATAGTTTTTTACATATATTTTTTAATTCTTTTGATTTTGATTTGTGAGCTGTGTTTTTTGTGATGCTAGCTGTGTGTATAAGTATATTTGATGTGAGTGTTTGTGGTGTAATGTTATAATGTGTGATATAAATTCTACCCATTTCATTTGGTATTACTGCGTTTTGAAATTGAACTAATTCTGGTGCCTTTATAATAAAGAATGCATAGTTGTAAAATGTGTATGATAGCATAGAGCGACCAATGTATGTTTTGTTGTTTAGTGAATAATGATCTCGATAAATGTTTTTTGTCCATTCAATTTTTTGGATTTGTGGGTCTATTATGCATGAGTCATTGAAATATAGGGTTATTTTTTTATGAAATTTATCTGAGTAGTTTTTTGAAATGAAATTTTGTTTGGAATTATTTTTATTGAAATATGTATCATAGTATAAGTTTTGGTTTTCTAAATTGAACATTCTTGATGATTCAGGTATTCTATAAAATTTTCTTTTATCTTTCCCTAGGTGTCCTGTCATGGTTAGAAATATTGGGTCACATAGAAGTCCTGCCTTCATTATAAAATATGCCGATAGTGCAGTTATGTCAATTATTTTTTCTAATAGGTGGGAAGGTTTTAAATTTGGTAAATGCCATAATTGTGATGATAGACAGATGAATATTTCTGATAGAAATATTGCTCGTAAATAAGCTTTCTTTTGTAATTTAAGTGATTTGGTGGTTTTTTCTAAATTATGTAATATTTTGGTTATATAATTATAATCTGAAGTGTTTTCATTTAAACATATTATATAAGTATTGTTTAGATTATCAGTATAAATTGCATGTTTTATTTTATTATTTTCTATATTGTGGGTTCTATTTATTATTTCTTTGTGGAGATGTATTGTTATCATATGTTTATTATTCTGTCTTATTTTAAAATTATTGTGATTGGAAAATTTGCTTGTTATATTCGTTTCGCTCAAATTTAATACAATGTTGTTTATTTGTGTGTGTTTATAATTGATTAATATTGAGTTTTGTGTTGTGCCCCAAAATGTTGTTGTGTCGTACGTTCTGCTGTCGACTCGTGATGTTGGATATCGATCTGTTTGTATTGATTTCATTAGGTCTGAACGATATTCCATCTGAATTATGACATTTATGATTTAGTGTAAATTTAATGGTGTTAGTGCTTATGTACAAGAATTATTTTAATGACTCTGATATATTTTATATTATATATTTTTTTTATATGATTTAGTTATATTATTATGTATTATATTATGATTATGTTTAGTTATCAGGCTTTATGTATTTATAATGATCTTCTAAGATCTTGGTGTTGTGTGTTTTTTATATTTAGTGATGGATAGATTTGTCTAGGTTGTGGTGTAGGTTGTGATATAGGTTGTTCTGTAATATTGTCTAATAAGTATGTCTCTGGATTTTCATTTTCATTATTTTGTGTATTTTGTTAGCTTAGTATGTGATTTATGCATAAAATAATGTGTCATGCTTGCAAATAAACCTGCCAGTACTTTAAAGCTAAATCCAAAAGTTTGATATAAGATTGACATGTTGATTGTTGTGTTTAGACATATCATAAAGATTTTCCATATAACAAATACACCTAATAATCCAGATATAAAATTACCAAAACCTACAAACCAGCCCCACATTTTGTTTAGTTTTTCTTCGACCAATTTGCTTATGAGTTGTTCATCGATATAAGGTCTTATTTTTAGTCCTTGATCAAGAGTGTTGTAGCCCATTGTTTCTCTTGCTAGGTTGCTTTGAGCTGCAAAAACTTCTTGAGGAAATAATAGGTGTTTTTGTAAAGCGTTAATCATGTCGCTTGAGTATAAGCCTGCGTTCATTAGGTGTTGTGGACTTTTATATGCCCATGTCCAAGTTGTTTGTGGTTTTAATAATTGAGGTGTTTTGCCTGAACCTAGTTCATTGTATTGAGGTGACATGCTTATCCATTCATCTTCCATGAAATATCCGGCTGGTAGTATGAATGTGCAGTCGATTTCAGTACCATATTTTTGTAAGGTGTGCGTTTTTGGTGCCATGAATGATTTTTGTTTGTTGTGTATTATTGGGAGTTCCTGAAAACAAGCTTTGTGGCTTCTATCTAGTTCAACTTCTACAGGTTTGCATTTGATAAGGTATACTATTTCTCCTGATTTTAATGCAGTGTAGCCCGGACCTTCTCCCATTGCGTATGCAAATTCTGGTAGACTGTAAGAGGCTAACGAAAGTTTTTTGGCAAG